AAAATTTATAATTGGCATGCCACTTTGATCACTGTCACAATCTCAGCTCTTACTATTTTATAGTGTCAGCAACTTTTTAATTGAGTTGGCAGGTTTTTTTAATTTCAATTAAAGAGTTAAAGTCTTGGTTAGCCTGATCACCTTGGTGAATAGTCCTACCATGCTTGACTTATATTCTTGAGTTGCCCACAACCTTATCCTTTTCCACTTCGGGTATTCTAAACAAATAGGCTACACACAATGAGCTTAATTGATTCATTAGGTCAAGGTATAACCCTAACAAAAGTGCAAGATGTTTTGAAAGAGGAAATGACATTCATTCCATCCCAATCTTATTCTTAAAGATTAAAAATATTTATTAAATATCTCAATCACTTTTATTTTTTATTATCAACTACAAGCCCTTCTACCAAACACCAACAAATTAATAAGAAAAAGCTTAGGCTTGTTTGGTAAATACTAAATAGTTAGCCTATCAGTTAATTTTGACTTATTTGACCACTATTAATTGTTTGATTTGGTTAAAAAAAATCAATATAAGTGTTTGGTTCATTAACTCCAAAATGCTAATGATAGTGCTAATACGAGCACGTATTGTAGGGTACTGGACACGGGCACTCGGACGTGGGCTTCTACGGCGGTGGGTCGGTAGACTCCGATCAAGTGGCCCAGGTCTACAGTTTGTCCAAAAGTCTTATCTACATAATAAATGCGGGTATTTATAGGGGAGCCAAGGGGATACAGTCTGACCTTCCGGCATGCAGGGCACGTGGCCCCATGCACCGGGCGGCGCCTGGGTCGAGGGGCTTACTACACGTGGGACTAGTAATCTGACACACGCTTTGCCGCCATCCTGCCGACCGGCCCCAAAGGTGGTCGAGACGGGGTCTTTGGTCGGGGCGGTCGGTTTGAGACCGGCACGCTCCCGGACCGACCGCCACCCTAGCCAAAATATGCCAGGACTCAATGGTATATTCCTACCAGCTAAAATTCAAAAGGCTACCACAAGCAACTTTTTCAATTAGTTGCGCTTTTGAGAAAAGAAATTATATCAAACAGTTATCAGCTAACAGCCAATTTACCAACACCTTTCTACAATCAGCTAATGTTATCAACTAGTTATACCATTTAATTAACTCAATCAGCTAACAGCCATTTAGCAAACAGGGCTTTAATCTTTCAGTATTATTGATATTTTAATTTGAACTATTGTTACCATGACAAAGCAATGCATCCAAACTCATCACATCTAGTTTGATTAGAAACATTTTAGGCAGAAGGGTCAAATAGCCCTATGTACTAATATTAATTGTTCATCTAGCACCATGAATTAAAATATGGTCCATCTAGCCTATATATTATATTCTCAATTATTTTTCATCTAGCATTTTTAGCAAGTTTCTAACAAGTAACACATCTAATTTGCTTACATGGAAAAATAAAATAAAAACAAAATGCGGACATATTATTTTTTCATCTAACTTGCTATTTTTGTCACTTTTTTTGGTAAAAAAATTCAAATTTTTTTTTACGTATTTCTAGATTGTGTTGATTTCTTCTACGAATTTTTCAGAAAACATTGAATCTATTTTTTTAGTCGGCTGTGAAATAAGTATGTTACCGCTTTTGTGATTTTTGAACCTATTTATTGGCATTGGTATTGGTTTTTATTTTGGTTTTCGATGGTGCGTTTATGAGGCTCTACTGTACACACCTGAGATTGAGGAGTTTGGAAAACAGCTGGTTAATAGACTAAGGGACAACGATGATCTGTATATTGCTCTGAGGTATAATGTGCAACACTAGAAAGAGAAAGAGATAGACAACAAAGAAATGAGACTGCCCTATGTCCCCGAGGGAAGCGGTCATGTTTCTGAAGGCGATGGAGTACCCCTCCACGACAAAAATATAAATTTTGCAGGGCAAATTTATGATAACAACAGCATGGATGCATTCCGCTTAGAATACCCCTACGTGTTTTCACACTCAACACTCGCAATAGAGGAGGAGTTGGAATCCTTCAAGTCATATCATAAATCAACATAATTTGGAAATACATAAAAAAATTGATTTTTTTTTTTTTTGCCGAAAAAGTAATAAAAACAGCAAGTTAAATGAAAAAAAATGACATGTCAGCATTTTGTTTTTATTTTATTTTTCATGTAAGTAAATTAGATTGGTTACTTATTAAAAAATTACTAAAAATGCTAGATGAAAAATAATTAGAAATATAATAGCTTAGATGGACCATATTTTAATTCATGATGCTAATAAATAATCAATGTTAATACATTATTCCAATTGACCTTGTGCGAACATTTTATTTCGTTTCTTGGACAACTCGATGTGCCTAATATGATCTTAGGGTGGTGAGTTCATCTAGAAACTTTATTTTATTTACATTTTTTTCTTTTGCGCATTTGGTGTCTATTTTAAAATACAAAAAAATATTTTCTAAAAATAATTTTTGAAAATGACTCATTTAAAAAAAAATCATTTTTAGTGTTCGGTTAAAAGTAAAACAAAAATGTTTTTTAATTTTTAGCATAGAGTAAAAAAAAAATGCCTTTTTATTTGGTTCATTTTGTTAAAAAAAAAATCTATTATAGGGTTATTTATTATACTATGTTATTTATTAAAAAAAAAAAAAAACACCTACTAGTTATGTTAATAATGACAATAATAATTGTAATACCTGAAAAATTATAATACTAAATAGATAAGCAAAATATATACCTAGACTTGGTCGGCTACCCTCCTATGAAAAATGAGGCAGGCAATTGAGGACAATTAAAGAGAGTCACACGTGAGAGATGGAAAGACAGATCTGTAAAATATCTTCTGTTAAAAATCTATGATTATATTTTCTATCAAAATGATCTTCTTCTTTTTTCTTTTTTCTTTTTTTTTTTTTAAATTTTTTTACCAAAATTACATTTTCTATTGATTTTATTTTTCTTGAATAATCAAACACTGATTTTTTTTAAATAACTTTTAAATGTAAGGTTTTTGAGTTTCAAAACAAACTCTAATCTATTATTTATTTATTTATTGTGAAAGTGGCCCGTTAACACGAAAAAAAAAAAAAAAAAAAAAAGACTATCACACTCTAATCGTACTAGCACCAAATGTGTTCGCCTCAAGTAGCGAGACAATGCTATCCGGACTCCGGAGGAATCTAACATAAGCGTTCCCCTTTCAAACAAACTATAATCTATTAATTTGACATTTAAATTTTTTTTTTTTATACATTTCTCGGCCTTTTAGCTAAGATCAAGTATAGTATCTGTTCTTATCAGTTTAATATCTGATACGTAGGCTATTAATTTTCTATTTAGCCAACTATAGTAGCATGCTACTACTAGCATCATACATATTACATATACCTTTTCTAGTCAAAAGAGGAAAGAAAATTGAGGAGAGAATGTACGATGTTTTGAATGAGGAAATGGGGCATTTGTGTTATCCGAAAAAATGAAATATTACTACGAAAATAACAAACACAAGGAGAAAGGAATTTTATTTAGGTGGTTCGTACAAGTTGAGTGAAATACTATTTCCCGTGCAAAAAAAAAAAAAAAAATTAAAAAAATAAATAAAAAATCTTTGTGCTATACAATTCGATAAGCTTTAGAAAGACTCTTGTATATATAGTGGTGCAAACACACTTCCCAAATCAATGTGGAACAAAATGCTACTTTAAAGTCTTTCTTTGGGTATACTTTGAGAATCAATTTCTCATTCACCAATTATCCGTTTTGAGCGTACAATATATCAATTTCTTCGTCTTACTACAAAGAACCCGAATCCACTTTAACATCAGAAGTATACCCCACTGATATTTGTACCACAAAATAGCCACTTTCCATGCCATTTTCTTGCAATTTTTACAACAATTTGTTCTATTTAATATTTAACTCTTATTCTTATTGTCAATGACCTTGTGGTCTAGTGACACAAAATGGCTGATACTATATTTGTAACAAAGTCAATACTACACTAGTACTCAAAAGAAGTTCTTATTCTTATAGATTAAACATCTCAACTACTTTTGTTTTTATTATCATCTCCAAATTAAAACCCTTCTACCAAACACCAACAAATTAAGAAGAGAAAAAAAATGGTACTTTTAATCCCTTAATTATTAATAATAAGTTTGTTTGATTCACTATTATCATGATATCATTCATAATCATTTTATATCAAAGATATTGATGTACTCAACAGGCACATGAAACGGCAAATTAGAAGTGGCGGTACTTTTTTACTTGATAATTTTTTTTTTGAGTGCTATTGGCACGAGTCAATACCGCTTCCACTAAAATTCGAACTCATAATCTCTCATTTGGGAGAAACACTCCATGGTTCATGCTGCTTGACCACAAGGTCTTTGGTTACTTAATTAACCTTTTTTTTTGCCTTTTTATTTTAATTTAATTTGGTTTTAGACACGGAGCATAAATAATAATAATAATAATAATAATAATAATAATAATATATTATATTCTTGCCAATGACCTTATAGTCTAGTGACATTGTTATGAACAGGTACTCAAAAAAAAAATTTGTATTCTTAAAACATTAATATCCAAATTTATATAAAAATAACAAATGAAGATTTAATTGTGGATTCAAAAATCTCTATGTACAATTTTTTATTTAAAAAAAAAAAAAAAAAAAAGACAACCGAACCAAATTGGTAATATTAAATAATAAATGAAGATTTAATTATAGACTCAAAAATATATATGTACAAATGTACAATTAAAAGAAAAATTAATAAGACAACCACAACCAAATTGGTAATGTTGTTAATTAAGTCACACTTGTGTGAAGATCGAATCTAAATTAGTTTATAAGCACAAGATTATAAATTCGACTTAGCTAAAGTATCACAATATAGAGAGTCTGTATTTATTTGTTTTTTTTTTTTAAATGTAAATTTGAGTTGAGACTGAAAATATGTGAAATATTGCAAATCCGATATGGATTTACAATACTTTTTAGGGAAAATTGTAAAGAATGTCCATCTATAATATGCCAATTATCAATGTCACTCCTGAATTATGAGTGGTGTAAATGTTGCCCCTCAATTATCAAAATGGTGCACATATAGCCCCTCCCGTAACGGATCTGTGGTTCCCCACCAATGTCAATCGCTGGTACTTCGAATTGAGGGAGGGAAAAAACAACTAAATTACATATTTACTCCGACTTAACGGTATCGTACACTAACGGGGAACCACATGTCCATTACGGGAGGAGCTATATGTGCACCGTTTTAATAATTGAGAGGCAACATTTACACCACTCATAATTCGGGATAACATTAAGGGCTCGTTTGGTTCGCTGGAAAATATTTGAAGGGAAATGGAATTGAAATTCCATGAAAAATAAATTTCAAGAAAATAGATTCCATTGTTTGATTGGTGGAAAAGAAATTACTGGGAATATGAATTCCATTGTTTGGTTGAGTTTGGAATGGTAAGGAATAATGTGTATAATGACAAATATAACCCTACACAACAATAATAATAATATAATAATAAGAGTAATTAATAAAGAATAAAAAATAAAAAAAATAAAAAAAAATAAAGAATGGTGAAGATAAAATTGGCATAATAGTTTTCCATGGAAAACAAAATACCTAACAAAAGCTAAGAATTTGTTTTCCTTATACTCAAGGAAAACTTTTTCCAATGAAAATGTTTTCCATCCAACCAAACAACATAAAACATCATTTTCCTTCACTTTTAGGAAAACATTTTCCATGGAAAATGTTTTCCATCCAACCAAACACCCCCTAATAATTGGCATATTATAGAGTGACATTTTTTATAATTTTTTCTACTTTTTACCAAGTTCTCCTATGGAGATTTTCAAATTCTACTTAATGATGTGATGATAAAACATTTTTTTAAATTTAATTTTAGTATGAGTAAAAGTTAAAATTTTGAAAGTACAACTATTTGACGGGACAATGGAGATTCCAGGAATCTAGCTGTACTCACATTTTACTGAAATCGAAGACTTTCTGAACGTACACAGGTAAGAGTGAAGTTACCATATTGCCCTCTACCAGCTCCATATTTCTCCCCATATCTCTTTCAGCACAAGGTAACCTTTGAATAGTCAAACTTGCCGATTCCAAAGATTCTATAAAAAGGCAGTTCATCGTCATCAGCTCGGCTGTACAAACAGAATACAGAATCCAAGCCAGCCCAATGGCGTCCCTAAGCTGCTCAGCCGACCAGCTGGCTCCGCTTCTGGGACCGAACACCACTGACGCCACGGCCGCCGCCGCCTACATCTGCCGCCAGTTCTCCGACGTCTCCACCGCCTTCGTCAACACCGGCTTCGCCATCGACTCCACTTATCTCCTCTTCTCCGCTTACTTAGTCTTCTCCATGCAGCTCGGCTTCGCCATGCTCTGCGCCGGCTCCGTCCGCGCCAAGAACACCATGAACATCATGCTCACCAACGTCCTCGACGCCGCCGCCGGCGGCCTCTTCTACTACCTCTTCGGCTTCGCCTTCGCCTTCGGCACCGGCGGAAATTCCAACGGCTTCATCGGCCACCACTTCTTCGGCTTGAAGAACATCCCCGACGGCGCCGCCGCCCTCGACTACAGCAACTTCCTTTACCAATGGGCTTTCGCCATAGCCGCCGCCGGCATCACCAGCGGCTCCATAGCCGAGCGGACCCAGTTCGTGGCTTATCTCATCTACTCGGCTTTCCTCACCGGTTTTGTTTACCCGGTCGTCTCCCACTGGTTCTGGTCCGTTGACGGTTGGGCCAGCGCGTTTAACAACAACAATCTCTTATTCGGAACCGGAGTTATTGACTTCGCCGGTTCGGGCGTGGTTCATATGGTGGGCGGAATCGCCGGTTTATACGGAGCACTCATTGAAGGTCCCAGGATCGGCCGGTTCGACCGGTCCGGTCGGTCCGTGGCGCTTCGTGGCCATAGTGCTTCGTTAGTAGTTTTAGGAACCTTTCTGTTATGGTTCGGGTGGTACGGGTTTAACCCCGGTTCGTTTAACAAAATTTTAGTCACGTATCCCGACGCCGCCGTCGGCGGCAGCTACGGGCAATGGAGCGCGGTGGGGCGGACCGCCGTGACCACCACTTTAGCCGGATGCACGGCGGCGCTGACGACGTTGTTCGGAAAAAGGATTCTGTCCGGGCATTGGAACGTGACGGACGTGTGCAACGGGCTCTTGGGCGGATTCGCGGCCATCACCGGCGGGTGCTCCGTGGTGGAGCCGTGGGCGGCGATCATCTGCGGGTTCGTGGCGGCGCTGGTGTTGATCGGGTTCAACAAGCTGGCTGAGAAAGTGAAATACGACGACCCACTCGAGGCGGCGCAGCTGCACGGCGGGTGTGGGGCGTGGGGAATCATTTTCACCGCACTTTTCGCCAAGGAAAAGTACGTGAACGAGGTTTACCAGGGGAAACCGGGTCGGCCTCACGGGCTGTTCATGGGCGGCGGCGGGAGGCTACTCGGGGCGCACGTGATCCAGATTCTGGTGATATTCGGGTGGGTCACCGCCACCATGGGTCCTCTGTTCTACATTCTTCATAAGCTGAAACTGCTCCGGATCTCGGAGGAAGACGAATTGGCGGGTATGGATATGACCCGACATGGAGGGTTTGCTTATGTTTACCATGATGAAGATGATCACAAAACAGGGATCCAAATGAGGAGGATTGAACCCGCAGCTCTTTCAAGTTAGAAGAAATTTCAATTCCCATATTTTTTTTTTTACTTCCTTTCATTTTCATTAGAATTTTCAACGTTTGGAAAGTAGTATGCATATTAGAATTATAAAGTTTTAAAATTTATAAAAAAAAAAGGTAGTTATCATGGGAATTGAAAATTCTTAATTTGTTTGTGGTTGTGGTTGTGGATGAAGATAATGAATGTCGTCTTACCATTATTCCTGTGTTGGCTGTGTATGCAAAGACTTTTCTCTTTCTTTCTTACTTTCTACTCCTTTTTTGCTTCACATTGGAAATTATGCATGCACTTTCTCGATCTTATTCAGTTATTTATAATTTCTGCATGTGACAAAATTAAAAGTAGTAGGTGTAATAATTTTTCAAAAATTTAAGTTGTAAGACTTATTCTAGTAGTATAGTTGGGAGTGTATATTAGGTAAATCATATCTCCTTTTGGTTAGCTTCCATTGAAAGTTAAACTTGTAATCTTATTATTACAAGTCAATAATCTTCTTCCCTCAAAAGGTTGAATCCCAACCCCAAAGGCCCCTGACCCGACAGAGCATTTGGAAGGGTGTAAATCACGGTGATTCAATGGCTCAATAGACAGGGTCAAATGCTAGTGCACACAAGGGATCTGTCCACTTTGGACATATATAATCCCCACACTGCCGCTGCCGAATTTTGAATCTTGGTCTTTTCTCCCAAATACTGCTTACTGAACCAGTGAGTTAAGCTCGTGCGGGCTACAAGTCAATAATCTAACCAATTTGATTGTGGTTATTCCGATTTACATATTCCCTCTGTCATATTTTATATGTTCTACTTACTATTTATTAGTCAAATTAACTTTTTTTTTTATATAATATTTTTTTACTTATTTTTTTAAATTTAATTTTTTGTGTTTATTAATACTTTTAGTTTAATTTCTAAATATATAAATTTTGTATATTAATACTAAACTTAATATTATGAAAAATTGAATTAAAAATAACTTCAGTAAAGTTTGGTTAATCGAACCAAACATATATAAAATGGGAGGGTGAGGGTACCTTATTTGTGATGGAGTATTATGCAACACGATAATTGCCCAAGTGGGTAAGTCAATCCTAGGCGTTTGTAGAACCAAGGTCATGAAATTGGTGTTTTAATTAAGAATATTAAGTTATAGGCGACGTGTCCAGTGGGATTGTCTGAATCCTAAACAGTCATAATGAGACTTGAACAAAGGAGTCGTGTTGGAATTAAATTAATTAGAATTAATTGAGATGTTAATGGTGATTCACGGACAATATTCTCTCTATGTTTTTGCAGCATTAAAGCACTTTTGCGTTCTTAATTATCTTCTAAGTTCTCAAACTTTCATTAAGTCGTAATGGAATTAAGAAAAATAACTGATTAATGAATATAGAGATCTAAGTTGTAAAAAGTGTAAATTTGTGTATCAATAAATTTCTTCAAATGTTTTGTTGTTGAAACTTGAAACTTTAATGTATTATGATCAAATTTTCACTATATATGTTACTAATTAAGAAAAAAATGATAAATTGAGGATTAAAAAGGAATTAACTATTTTAGGATATTAAAACAATTGTTATATAATAAGTTAAAGGAATTAACTTCTACAATATTGTGAAAGTTCTCAACAATTTAATATAGAACCCCATGATTTCACGTTGGTTTTAGAATTTAGATGAATTAGTTTAATATATATAGAAAGGGCATGGTGCATCGTTGCAGGTTATCTTTTTTTATTTGTCCATAATTTTTAGAATAAGATTTTGTCTTCTAGCAATCTACCTCATCAATTGGCGGACGCGTTGATTACTGATTGCAGAAACATCATGAATCCGATCCAGGACATCAATTTCATTCACGTTTTCAAGGAAGGGAACCAATATGCTAACTATTTGATTAATCTTGATTAATTTACGAAGTGGGATAGGATGATCCTGAAACAACTCCCGAGTCAACTGTGAGAGAAAGATGCTAGATGCGTTACCACGAGAAGAATCTATTAATTTGAAACCCACGGGCCCCTCAAGGGTTTAAGTGCGAGTATAACTTTCCGTGCGGTTAATTAAAAAAGACTGTAAGATATATTAAATATAATATATATTATATATAATATATCTATGTATTTATATATAATAATATATAAATAGGAAGAGAGAGAGAGAGAGAGAGGAAGATTAGAATGAATAATGTTTATTCACTGGGATGATTTAATAAATGAAAATACACCACATATTTATACTAAGAGAAAGCTAATAAATAGGAAGCTAATGC